GAATCCGATTGCTACAAAAGCTTTGGTGAAGCAAATTGATAAGAACCTCCGAAACAAAATAAATGTGATCCGCAACAAGGGCGACTATAGTTACACCGAAGCGATGGAGATTTGGTATTCCACGCGATAAGAACTTTTTATTATAATCTATTTCTAGAATAGCTCGGTTTTGGTTTCTTTAGAAGTTCAAACAAAAGTTGCATTTCAATGTAAAAACGATTGATTTGAATATAATTTTACATTCAATTCAAAAAAAAAAAAAAAATTAACAAGGGCTAATGTTTGAGGGAAAAAGTTCAACGTTTCTGCCTGAAAAAAATGAAAAATTTAATGAAAACTTTCTCAGGTCACATGTTAATCGTTTGTGGATTTTACAGTAATACAAACGCAACCCATGTTTTTCGACAACACAAAATGCAACTCATTATAAGGTGAATTCAATGGGAAATAAGTAAAAGGAACTAATTTTAGGGAAAAAGAACAAACTATTGAATGTATTCTAGATTGATTTTATTTTTAATCCACAAAAATTCAATTTTTATTGACTTTCAGTTAAAAAATGAAGAAGTTTCCCCTACGTTACGTTTTTAATTCCATCAATAGAAGTCTACCTACGTATTCAACTTTCCCTCATTACATTATTTTGTCACGAACCTTCCGTCCTTCCCTCATTACTTATTTTCGTAGGTTTATTCAAAGTGAAACCATATGGCAAAAAATCGAAATGAAAGTAAATACATATATCAAATCACTTGGAGTCCTTCAAACAAAACAACAAAAATGAACGAAGTAGTTTTTGTTCTGTTTCTTGTTCTATTAATTGTTTCGGTTTCAGATGCAAAAATAACGAAACCAAATGTCGAAAACTTCCTCCAATGCCTTCGTTCTCGTACCAGTCCGAAGAATCCGATCACCGAAGTCCTCTATACTCACGATAACTCCACCTTCGTGTCGTCTTACGTGTCCTACACGAATAACAAAAGGTGTTCAAACCCTAAAGATACAAAACTAATAGCCATTGTTGCTGCAAAACATGAATCTCATGTTCAAGCAACCGTGGTCTGCGCAAAGTCCAACGGAATCCAGATCCGAATACGAAGCGGGGGTCACGACTTCGAGGGCTTTTCCTATATATCATCTGTGCCGTTTGTTATTCTCGATATGCATAATTTCCGATCTATAACCGCTGACGTGTCCAGCAAGAAAGCTTGGGTTCAAGCTGGTGCAACTTTAGGAGAGCTCAACACCAAAATTGCTGACGCGAGCAAAACCCTAGCGTTTCCGGGTGGCTTTTGGTCTACGCTAGGAGCCGGAGGACACATCAGCGGCGGAGGATACGGAAATCTGATTAGAAAATACGGAATCTCCGTAGATCATGTGATTGATGCTCAATTAGTTGATGCTAATGGAAAGATCTTGAATCGGGCTTCCATGGGAGAAGATCTGTTTTGGTCAATTCGCGGCGGTGACGGTGCGAGCTTCGGCGTTATCCTCGCTTGGAAAATCAACCTCGTCGCTGTCCCAGAGACCTTGACAGTGTTTAAGGTTACCAAAACATTGAGACAAGAAGCCACTGATGTTCTGTACAAATGGCAGCTTGTCTCTAGCAAATTACCCGAAGAGCTTTTCTTGAGAGCAATTCCTGAAATCGCAGAGGGAGCTAAATCCGGCGAAAAAACTATCGCGGTTAAGTTCTACGCACAGTTCTTAGGGCCAGCTGCGCAACTAGTTCCGATTATAAACAAGAATCTGCCTGAATTAGGGCTAAAACGCGAAGATTGCTACGAAATGAGCTGGCTTAATACGACGACGTTTTGGATGAACTTCCCGGTCGGGACACCTACGAGCGTTCTTCTAAAGAGAACCTCCGGTCCACCAAGAGCATTTTACAAGTGCAAATCGGATTACGTCAAGGAACCGATCCCAAAAGAAGGAATGGAGAAGATTTGGAAAACAATGTTGAAATTTAACAATGCGTTTATGGAATGGAACCCTTACGGCGGAGTGATGGACCGGATTCCAGCGAACGCCACCGCCTTTCCTCACCGGAAAGGAAATTTGTTCAAGATTCTGTACTGTGCGTCGTGGAACGACGCAAAGGCCACAGACGCTAATTTAAGTTTGATGAAAGAACTTTACGATGTTGCGGAGCCGTACGTGTCAAGCAACCCGAGAGAAGCGTTCTTGAATTACAGAGACATGGATATTGGAAGCAATCCGAGTGGAAAGACGAATATTAACATTGAAGAAGCTAAGATCTATGGATCGAAGTATTTCTTAGGGAATTTTAAAAGATTGATGGAAACTAAAACTAAGTATGATCCTGATAATTTCTTCAGGTACGAACAGAGTATTCCTCCTATTCATGCAATGTAAGTTATGTGTGCATACTTCTTTGCGTCATCAGCCTCTAGTGGCAACATGTTTGGTAGCATACCACCCGCATCCATTTTCTTCAGTGCATTATATATCATTCATTACCATTCCCATTCCCGAAGAAACCATGCCCATCCCAGTGTAAAACCTCTATAAATTAATAAACACGATAAACTACAGTTAAACCAAAAAATAATTATGCATAAATCAAAGTAATTAATATAGAATATAGTCCATTGAACATCATACCAACACCAAGCAGACCTTCAAAATACAGCTACAGCTGTACTCTCTCTCTTTTTACAATCTTAAGCATTGGACATTTAAGAACTAATCTCTGAGGAAAATAACTCAATTGTAAATCTGTCTGTTGTCATCATGTATATGGAAAGATGCAAAGGGAGGTTTATGAACTGAGCCGCTATAATATTGATTTAAGTTGGGGGCAAAAAGCTTT